GCTTCGTCAGCGTATCGTAATCGGGTTCGGGGGTATCGGTCGCAAAATTGAGGGCGAACCCGATTACGAACCCGATTACGATACGCTGACGAAGCTTTGTAATACAATTCGAAAGCTCCGACCCGAACGATTTCTTGTGGAGTAAAGTCCTCATTCAATTATTACATGGAACATGTTGTTCAATGATGTAGAGATGCCAGGGTCAGGGTCAAGGTCAACCTAGGTCGTCTAAAAATATTGCGTTTTAGGCAAGCTGAATTTACTTTCGTGAAGTTTCTTTGACTGTATTTTTGGTAAAAGCTTCTCAGTTCATGATCTCATGTAATATGGACACATTCACAATCGGTGCACACATCAGTATACACACAGCCATACAAACACATGTCATTGACCTTGAGCTAACTTGACCTGAAATGACCACAGCCAGCAAAAACCTAGTCGGATAGTGTGACAAAGAGGTTTTAGCTGGCTTGGCATCACAATACGGCATCGTCATCGGTATATGATGAGCAGCGCACGTGATATTCCAACGGGCAACGGTGACTCCAAACAGCAACATTCTTTAGTTTGACCTGACCTGGAAGGTCAATGACTGACCTGATGAGGTAAAATTGGTATCATTAGATTCGTCTCTTCCCAAAGAATATGTTGCTCTTGACCGCAAGGCTTAAAATCTTGTAAGAAAAAATTGTGGTGATGTCGAATAAGATACCTACACAAGCAGCGGGCCAACCCAGCATATACCGATGACGCTGCCGTATTAGTGCCAAGCCAGCTAGAACAGCTCTTTGTCACACTATCCGACTAATTTGCTGGCTGTGGTCATTTCACGTCAAGTTAGGTCAAGGTCAATGATATGTGTTTGTATGTCTGTGTATGTCTGTGTATGTACTGATGTGTGCACAGATCGGTTTGTGTGTCCCTATTACACTTGATCATGAACTGAGAAGCTTTTACTAAACATACAGTCAAAGAAACTTCACGAAAAGTAAATTCAGCTTGCCTAAAGCGCAATAATTTTAGATGACCTAGGTTGACCTTGACCCTGACCCTGACATCTGTACATCGCAGAACAACATGTTCAATGATAGGTGGGAGGTAAGACTGGCAAAAAAGCCTAAATCAGCGTGTCAAAGCTCACAAGGCCCATAGCCATCGCAAGATATTGGGTATTCGTCATTTAGGACATGACATGACCTGAAGAACAAGGTCATATCTCCAAACCCAAAAGCCACAGAAACTTGAAATTTTCAATGGACGCTGAGAAAAGATAGAAAAGCAGCTATACAAAAAATCAGGTTTCTAGCTTTAAAAATGTTAAGTGTAGAGTATAAAAACTAACTTGGGGGTGGCGACCTTCCCCCCAGGTGCGGGCGAAGGTTAACCCTCACACTTTCTGGGGTCGGCTTACGGCTAGATTCGTTGCGCAATGCTGTGCCGTTAATTTTTTTCTATAATAAAGGCATTGTGTTTTATTGTCAAAAGTGAAAAAGCCAGAAATTTTCGTCGATTTCGGATGCCGCGGGGGATATTTACATACAATGTCACCCTGCTGGCCTGGATCCACCAGTAGGGTCAGGTGACCTACCATTTCTTTATCAATATTCAAAAAAAAAAATCATGGCATCAGAGCTGTGACGAAAAATAAGTGGCCTAAATCCGATGAGAAAACTGGATTTCGGGGTACCCCAGGTTTGGCTTCTGAGCCTCTGGTCCCCCAATGAAAATTTCTTAGAGGAGGCCCTGGCGTGGTTCGTAAATTACCGCTTCCGCAATTGGAGGCCCCTAATTGCTTGGAGGCCCCCACTAAATGGAGGCCCCCTTGGACGCTTGGGACCCCAATGGTGATGTCAAAGTTTCACCCATGGTTAGATTATATTATTCTGAAACCGGTTTTTTCGATTTTACCTAGCTAGGTAGTTTGGTGCAAGAGGCCTCAGGGCGCTGCCAGCACACGTGTCAAATTGGGTTTCCATGGAGACATCAACAAACTCGCATCTCCAACATTACCACAATTTGTGACGTCAGCTCGCGAAATGCGCTGGCAGCGGCCGTGAAACAGGGCCCATGAGCTGCTAATGCCTAATAGTGGGTTGGGTTGGGGGAAGCAAACCTCCTTTTTACCTCATCTGCTCAACAGCAGAAAATGACCACGCATTGCGATTCCATTTCACAGTCGATACCAGTCTATTTACCCAGATCAGATGGACTCTAGGCTCGGCTGTTTTGGTAGGCTCGGTTCTCTCGGCGTCACTTCCGGGTCTTTTTTGGCGCAGTCAAGTGTCGCATTGCCCTGTATAAAAACGGCATGGATGAAAGCGGCCATCTGCGGTGGCCGAAAACCGAGCCCCCTCGCGATGCTGTTCAATTATTTCCATCAAGTTTTCTCGTTAACAACTCACACAAGCCACTGCTAAATTTGCTAGATTTGGTGCAAAATCGCTCAGAGGCATAACCAAACCACGTATGACACCATAGACCTGCATGTTATTGATATAACTCGATTGTTTTTTTTTGTTTTTTTTTTACTTTAAAAATATGAAAATATGCCTCGGCATCCTACCCTAGGCGGTACCTATAGGGGAGAGTGGGGAAAGATGCCCAGGGTTTTACTATGTCATATATTATTCGAAAATGACGATCGGAAAGCAAAAACTTGGAGTTTCAACGGAAGCCGACATCATTTTTCTCCAAAAATATCACACTTTCGTGCCTGAAACATAATAACTTTTTTTGCTATTAAGCATTTTCCTGAAGAAGTGAAAGGGGGCATCTTACCCCACAGGGTGGGAAAGACGCCCCCTGGCGTTGGGGAAGATGCCCCCTGCACTATAAGTGACATAAATGGGCACGTGAATCGCCTGAACGAATGAGTAGTCCCTTCGAGCCTGCAGTAGACACCAAACGTCATCGTAAGGGCCCTCAAATGTAGTCGTAAGTGGCTTCAGAGGTCATCGTTAGGGCCATCATAGTCCAGCGCAGCCAAACAAGCCTCTGTGGTGGCGTTTGGAGACCACTGTGGGGCCCTTATAGGTCTTCATAATGCTTGAGGGCCCTCGAGCTCATCGTGAGGACCTCAGATGCCAGGGCGGCCCGTGGAGCCAACGTGGGAGCCCTCAAAGGATGTCGTGAGGGGCCCTGGAGCCAATAATGGGGTCCACAGAGGCCGTTATGAGGGTTCTCAGAGTCAGGTGCCGCCCAAAAGTCGCTGTGTGGGCCGTGAGACCGGCGTGGGGAGGACCCGACCGTTCTGGACTCTCAATAGTCCCAGATCGGCTTTTGTCTCTCATCACAAGTATGTAATTAGTAATAAATGATTTGACGGGCTGCTTGAAGGACAGCCTACGGATTTAGGGGGGCGTCTTTCCCCATCAGGACAGGGGGCATCTTACCCCAAGGTACCGAAGTAACATTAAATCAGTACAATTTGTTAGCCATAAAGCTACACCCTGAAACAAACTGTTTGGGACACAGTACACGCATGTTAATGTATCACGACTAGGTATAGCAAGGGACGCAAAAATTATCTACCTTTTTTGATATTTACAATGTTTTGACACCAAAATATTTTTTTGAAAGCAGCAAATAAAAAACATGCAATCACCCACCAGCCAGCCGTTGCCCAACTGAGCTCCGCAAATTTTTGCGCAGTTAACAAGGCAGGCTTCCGCTTTACGCTAAAAACATTAATTTCCAGGTTCGGTTCTTTGTTTCGCCGCTAGAGGGGTTGGGGCGTCTTTCCCACCCTGGGCATCTTACCCCACTCTCCCCTACCTACTTCAAAAGTTATAGGACCACTTTTTTATTCGATCCGATGTACCGCTCGTTTCCAAAAGATATAGTCTCATTATTGCGGCCATCGGCGTGCATGGTATTGGTATGGGGGCAACTTATAGTTAACGGTCCATTTTTGCATTTAAATAACTTCTGGCACAAGGCCAACAAAAGACCAATTTAAGACCCAATTCCGGGCTGAAATGAATCCTGTCTGATTGAACCCATCACACATTTCAATTTTCAATGCGCTGCAATGAAATATGAAACTCAATCTTGTGCAATGTGCATGCTATTTGCAGATTTGAGGTCGCGATATGGAGGGGCGGCTGATCTGACAGTGTAAGGACGGCTGTACCGGGGCGCGGTGCGACCGGCCCCGCCGCGCCGGAGCCACCGCTGCCGCCGTCGTGCGGCTCCACCATATAATTCCCCGCTATTGATTCCGTATTAATTTATTGAAAGAGCCCAGCGCAAACGCTCCCCGGCAGCGGACCTGAGCCCATGAATAATTTGTATCGAATCTATGGAGGCATGAATGTTTTATAACGAAAGCTATAAACATGTAAATTATTTTCCCAGTTCGTATAAAATTCTGACAGGCCCTGGTACCACGCAACGCGGCTGCGCCACGCATAATGGCCGTCAGAAATGAACCGCATTAAAGCAACGCGTGGGTAATAATCATAATTTATAGGGAAAGTTTGGAGCTGTGTAATCCGCGGTGCAGCATGTTTGGGGCCGGGCCGGGCGGGCTGGCGCGGCGGCACTGGCAGCCGGCGATCAATGCCTTCTGACCGTCAGCAGCGATAGAGTCTCGGCGACGGCGCACCCACTGTGCCCGCCCGTATTATTATATATTATCTCCGTCATTATTAGTGGATGGGACCAGTCCACAGAGCGGGAGGGGAGGCCGGCACATAGCTCCTACTAGACGGGCGCCCGATCGAAGAACTAGTATATACCGGTATATACTAGTTGAATATTTGATATTCAACTTTTTATAATCTCAAAACGATTCTCAAATGGATGTTTTGCTGCAAGGTAGCTAAAATGATCTCATATTTATGAACTAATTTGGGAAAGCTTCTATAAAATAATGGATTATTTCATCTAGTATTATCCCAGCCTAGTCGGAAATCTAGCTGTGCGGCAGCTGGGCGCCGGCCGATCTGGCATCCCGTAATTGTAGGCCGCCGCCCCCCGCGTCAGTCGCGCGCCGACGCCGGGGCGGTGAGGGTCGCGGCGCGCAGCGGTGTGGTGTACCGGCCGTGTGCGCTGCTCTCCGACAGACTGACCGAGCGCGGCACGATGGCGGTGACGGCGGCGGCGGCGGCGGGCGCCGGACCGCAGCACTACTGCCTGCGCTGGAACAACTACCAGTCGAACCTGACCTCAGTCTTTGACCAGCTCCTCCAGAGCGAGTCGTTTGTGGACGTGACACTGGCCGTGGCCGGACGCGCGCTCAAGGCGCACAAGGTGATCCTCAGCGCGAGCTCTCCGTATTTCCAGACTCTGCTGCACGACAACCCGTGCGGCCACCCGATCGTGGTCATTGAGGACGTGTCGCATGCTGACATGCAGGCCATCGTGCAGTTCATGTACAAGGGGGAGATCAACGTGGCCGAGCAGCAGCTGCCCAGCCTGCTGAAGGTGGCCGAGGCGCTCAAGATCCGCGGCCTGGCCGACGTGCCGGAGGGCGAGACGGTGACCCGGCGGGCTGCCCCGGAGCCGCAGCGCCGCCAGGCCTCGGCCGAGGCCGGCGGCAGCCCGGAGCCGGCGGCGGCGGGCAGGGCGCCCCCGCAGGTGGGACAGACCCCGGAGAGGCCGCCGCAGGGCCCGGCGATGCCCCCGGGGACCACGGCCGAGCCGCGGCCGGCGCCGGCGCCCTCCCAGGCACCGGCCCACTCGCGCGCCTCCGACGACACCGAGATCCGACCGGCTATCATCGAGATGATCAAAGAGGAGGAGAGGGTGAGTAGCCTCTACGCAGACCCCTGGCCGCTGCCCTCCGGGTCAACTCACTAGCAGGGACATATTGATATGCTAACACAGTGTGAGGTATTTTAGTGTCATCATCCGTACATACTACATAGGTAACACTAATGGATAGCTGTGTGGTTATTGGCTAGGAAGGGCGAAACGGACGCTTTGAGCCACCAGGCACCAGTCGGTGGGAGTGAACCGTCAGTGACTTTCTGATTAACTACTTCTTGTGACTCAAGCGCCAATGATTCACATAAATTGATTTGATCGGGGATGCTTAGAAAGATGGCTCATGACTTCTCCAAATATCCCCACCGAGCTGTTGAATCATTATTTCCCGGGCTTCATATGGATAATATAATGAAAGGCACTAAAATGGGGCTGGTTCAAAGACACATGTGAGTAACGGTGATCTCAAAATTCATCCGTCAATTACCATTTCGGGAAACCGCAAAGACTCAGATGGCGCCCGACTGTTTTGCACCCGATATGAATAGACTGTGTTCTCGGAACTGAGAACACAGTCTATTGTGTTCTCACCTTTTGAGTCTTTGAGTCTGGCATATCCATAATGGCAGTAACAGGCCGGGACAGGTGGGGCATCTGAGCATGGCTCCAACCGCGTGTGATCCGTCTGCTGCCCCCCCCCCCCCCTCCTGGAGCACCTACCAAGGGCGCTGATTGTCTTTACCTCCTCCCCCCGTCTGTCTGTCTGCTAGTGCTTCTTCTCTCCGCCCCCCCCCCCCCCACACACACACCATCTCGGGCAGTTATGTTAGCGCTCCTGATGCTTTGATACGCCGCGGGCACCGTGAGACCGGGGAGACTTTGGAGCGCGTCTGGACACCTTTGATGACGTCGCCCGCTCTGGTGATGAGAAACGTTCAAAATCGCGCCGCGGGACGTGTTTCCTCTGTGTCCATGTCCTGCGCTGACCCAGGTGATGGGTATAATGGCGGATGTCGTGCCTGAACCGTGTTTCTGGTGCTACCCGGAACAGTTCGTTTGTCGCAGTCAGTCGCTTCCGCTCTGTGTCGGTCGTCGCCGCCTGTTCGTGTCGACGGTGTCTTTTCCTGTCGGCTCTCCGTCTGACTGGCCCGGTGTGTGTCCTTTGGCTCCGTTCGGTCGTCCCCCCGCTGCCGACCGCCCGGCCATTAGCTAAGTAATCAGCGTCCGACAGTCTCCCTCCCGCTCGTACCGAGTGTCGGTCCCGACCGGGTCGGTAGCAGTGACCAGTGACCGGGACAGTAGACCGCTGCCGGGTGTCGTCTGACACCAACTCTGTCAGATGACACCACACAGCTCGGAGTCTGTCGAGAGTGACCTTCGTCCCGGCGTGGCGTGCCGCCCGCCGCTCCGGGCGGGGGCGGGGGCGGGGCGGAGCGGTGGGGCGGGTCGACCGCGCGGGGTCTGAGGGTGGCGCTCGGAAGGGGGAGGGGAGCGCGAGATGCCGCATTGTGCCATACCGAGATGGCTTCAAAATGCGACCCGTGGCTCACCCCTCCAGCCTCCATGCTGTCCTTGTTCACTAAACGGCCAGTCCCAGTATGCGTCCATCGCTCGATGTATACCTACGTGCCTGCAGTCTCGTCCAGCAAATCAATAACTCTTTAATCCCGAAGTTTTTGCGTCTCTTTAATTGCTTTGTATGGTTGGTGTACAAAATTTAATTGCAGGATGGCTAAATTCTCATTGGTTGGTAATAGCAAATTGTCTCAAGATAGCTCTGGCTGTAATGAATTGCCAAACGCTAATGCATATATTTCTATACCATGGTTGCATTTAGTGTGCACATGCAAAATGGCATTAAATTGACTAGGATAGGTACCTAAGTGAATGCATGACAAACTTTGCGCGGGCAAGATTACTTTACTAAAGGCTCGGGTAGCTGTACTTATTAATAATATGCATAAATAAAAGGATTTGTGAGCTTCCATAGCAAAATGAAATAGCTGTGCAAATAAATAACGCTGCGTCTTTCCTATGTGTTAACTACAGCTGCATTGGAACAAGCACATTCTTTGCATTTCTCCGTACGTCGGACATTTAGCGCCGTTTTAATCTTCGCAGCATCTTTCACATTCTTTGAGTTACCTGACATCTGTCAAAAGCAATTTAGGTACATTATTTGAAATGTTTTATGTGTTTGCGCAAAATAAGTTAAATGGTATATAATTGTTCATTCTTATAAATGTGCGGCGACCTGCATCCATCGCCCGTGTTGAGGTATTTCTTTTTATATATGCAATGTTAATTGTTATATGGGCATACAGGTGTTATGAAGGTGTGCATATCTCATTTTAAAGACAAACTCACTAATAATTCTCATCATTCGATTGCAATTTTTAGCCATGGAGCTGATAGCTGATAAACTTCTTTGATGGCTGAGGCCGACCAAGATTATATATCGGTCCTCGGGCATTGCTTATGTATAATAAACATAGCTCTAACGGGCCTAGCTGACTTCATCTAAAATGCTTCATCATGAGCTATTAGCTCATCATTCGGCAAACATCTCATTGCAGACTGCTGTCTCCTACGTTGTGCTGTGCAATTCACAGGCTAGTTCGTTCTTGGCCTCACCCTTTTATGTTTTTTTTTTTTTTTTGTGCAATCCTCTACGAATACACATCGGAGTAGATGAAACATGTGATGTGGTCATCCCAGGTGCCCATGAGGTGCCAGAGCCTTACCTTTTGACCTAATTTTTAATGTTACGCCTGTGTAATTGCATACGGAGAACCGTCTCCAGCAACCATCTTTTTGCGGTCCCCCATCCCGCCCCTCCTAGCCTCCGTCACTGCCAGGATAATATGTCGGTACATGTGGCAGCTCTCGACGTCGAGTATTGGGCATTTGGGCACGGACAGGTTACCCAATACCCCTCCCCTCCTCTCCTCCGCTGAGCAGAGGCGGCGCGTCGGACGGCTGTTGTCTCAGGCGCGACAGATACGGCGCGCGTTATTGCATTCCGGCGCACCGCTGCACTTCTATATGACAGGACATGTCGACTGTACGAGTGACGTCAGATTAGTTATATAACCGAGCCTCGCCGAGTGCTCGGGCAACGCCATTGTCCCACCCTGTCTGCGGCCAAAGCGGGCACGAAGTGTATGTGAACGCATTACGGCACGTCCCGTAAGACTAATGAACACTGTTATGACTGGCTGCTGAAGTTACGGAAGGCCAGCTTCATACCCGAGCATGATACCGATATAGACGGAACGATTTATCGAATTGCTTTGGAGCCATCATAAGCGTTCTTGAGGTGATACGTACAAAGTGAAACCGGTTGGTGACAATAGCCCGATCGCAGTACTTGGATTTGGGGCTGTAAAGAGAGAAGGTTTTATTTGGAGGACGCTTACCAAATGGTGAGCGGTGAGTCATCCTTCCGTTCGATCATTCGCGCCTTTCGGGCCTCGGTGCCATTACCTGAAACACAAAACTCGCAGCAATGGGCGAATCTGTAGTGTGGGAATGGCCCTCTAAACCGCCAGTCTCTGTTCGAGGGCAGTATCCCCCCTCGCCCGTCTGTAAACCACCCACGGGGTGTTTTCAATCGCTGCTGGCTGGTGCATGGAGCCTTCGATCGCCGGCACAAACACGAACCAATCACCGCTATCGGCCATGCCATCGTCGGCCTACATGGTCGGCCGGGACCGCGGCCTATCTGGCGCGGCTTTCACCGTCGCCATGCGTGCCCGTCGCACAGCCCGGGCCGGCCGTCGGTGTCGGCGGCAATGAGCGGCGCCCGGCGCGGAAGCGGCGCCGTCGGCTGTTTAATAACCGATTGTTGGTGACGTCACGGCCGGCGGCCATTGTGGCGCCCCGCCGGAGAGAGTGGCGCGCCTTACAGAGAGTACCGACACCTCCGGTCTGGCATACAGACAGGGCCTTTATGAGATATTTTATATCAAATTTAAATACCTGCATGCCGAATATTTAAATGCCTATTGATCGGTCTAGCTTTTAGAATTGTCCATGAAATGTAAGGAAGCTTGATGTATGTGGCGAGGATAGATAATACGCAAGAAGTAAATAAATAAATAAATAAATAAATAAATAGATAGAAATGAAACGAATCATGGCAATTGTGAACCACATTTCTGCTTGTTATACCGTGCATTTCGACACAGGTGTTGAGTGCTGACCTTGCGCTGCGCTATCAGGTCCAGCGCCGCTATCACCTCCCCCCCCCCCCCCCCCGAGCAGGTCGCACATATGTGACACATTTAGCCGAGCCCGGACTGCCCGTGACCCCCCCCCCCTCCCCCCGGTGTGTCACCCGTCGTCTCACTTCCGGCGTGCCACCCCGGCCGCGCCGGCCCAACACGCGCCCACCGTGTTCCTCGCCGATGACGTCACTGACATGGTGACGTCACAGTGTGTGTGTGTGCTGTTTGATACCCGCTCCGCTGACGGCGAGCCGGTCTTCTTTCAGCTCTGTCCAATGACATGGAACTGGGTAAATGTTGGTTCGGGACAGGCGACTTGTCAAGCATTCATGCGACACGGTTGGGCGCATTATCTTGATTACAATGACAGATATGATGTTGTATATGAATATCAAAATGTTTTTAGCGAGCATTTATCTCTCACGCTGGCTCGCCCTGGAAAATGGGAACTATTGATCTTAAAATCATGAAGCTGCGCTGAAAACCTTACCACATTTTTTTTTTTAATTTCTTTTCGGCAACCCTCATTCCTATTTTCATTTTTATTTTTGGCAGGGGAGAGAGGGGAGTGAAATAAGAATAGCTATAACAAAATTTCGGATGTGTTAGTGTAGGTATAAAGTTAGTGGTTCTCGAGAATGAGATACCTTACCTATGTCGGAATTGAAAGAATTCGTCCTATCCGCACTTTGAGATTTGTGCCTATTAACGATATATGCGGTGTTGTTCATGCCCATCTTTCGCACACCGTTTTCTGGGCTTCTATACATTCGTTCATGTGGGCTGCATGTGGTCCCCGGTGGATGAGGA